TTATTTATTTATATCTTTTTATATATTTAAATAAATAAATAAATATTTATAAATATGTGTATATATAGGTCAAAAAATCTGATTTTTGAAATGTAAAAGTTGTTTTATTATTTTTGAAATAGGGTAAAGATAAAGTAGGGAAAGTGAATTTTTCCCTTCCATTAATAAAAGAAAAAGTTTATTGGATTTATTGGTGGCCCATTCTATTTCAAATCTAAAAGAAAAAGTTTTACTTTTTCAAAAATCATATATAAATTTAAATTTTATTTATTAAGTAATTTATTAATTAAATATATTAGGGTCTCAATATTATATAATTTATGTCACAATTATATGTTAATCACAATTACAGACGTCACAATCACAAATAACAAATTTCATATGTCATAATTTATTTTTCGGTCACAAATAACAAATTTCATATGTCATAATTTATTTTTCGGTCACAAATCAAAATTTTTATGAAAAACAAATTATTTCATGGTCACAAATTTATCAAATTAATAGTCACATATTATTTATTGGTCATAAATCACAAAATTTATAAGTCACAACTTATTCAATGGTTACAAAATATCAAATTAATTGATCACAATTTATCAAATTATTAGTCACAAATTAATAATTTCAAGGTCACAAAGCATTTATTGGTCACAGTTAATCTACTTCATTGGTCACATATTGTTTACTGGTCACAACCTAACCAAATTCTTGTTCACTATATTAATCACAATTACAGACGTCATAGTTACAAACAACAAATTTTATAGGTCACAATTTATTTTTCGGTCACAAATCAAAATTTTTATGAATTACAAATTATTTCAAGGTCATAAATTTATCAAATTAATAGTCACATATTATTTATTGATCACAAATCACAAATTTTATATGTCACAATTTAGTCACAAAGTATCAAATTAATTGATCACAAATTATATTTAGATCACAATTTATCAAATTATTAGTCACAAATTAATAAATTTTTAGGCCACACAGTATTTATTGGTCACAATTTATCTATTTCATTGATCGCATATTATTTATTGGTTACGCACCAACTAATTTATTGGTCATAATCAACCAAATCATTTGTGACCACTACCACACCACTGCCGAAACCACCGTTGCTAAAACCACAACACCACTTCCCGGCAATAAAACCATCAACTGGAATATCGTAGCCAACATCACCACCAACACCACTACCTACCGCACCACCACCACCACCCAAACACCATTAAAACCACAAGACCACCACCACCCATCCACCAACAAAAAAAAAATTATCACGACCACCACAATCTACATTGTTGCACTCTGGGCTGCTGGAGATCCACCACCACCTCACCACAAATCCATCACCACGCCCACAACACACCACCACCGCACCTCCCACAACACACCACCACCAACACCCTCTCCTATATCTCCATTTACACCACACCTAACCACCACCCCACCAAAAAATACACAAACTTGCCGTCGCAACCACCACAACACACCACCACCGCCTGCACAAGTTCCACTTCGAGTCACGCAAAGGGTGGTGCCAACGGTAATGGTACCGCGAGGTAGTGATAGTTCTGCACACGATCGCCATAGGTGCAGGAGCGAGGCGCCTTTGCGCCAATTGTGGGGCAACTGTCTATGCCCAAACTAGTAGCGATCGTCGGAGCAGTCTTTCTTTTACTTGTTGACGTTTGAGAGAGAGAGAGAGAGAGAGAGAGATAGAGATGTGGGTCAATGATTTGTGATTTTGAGATTTTTAGGATTTTGGTAGTTATGATTTAGAGAGAGAAGATAGAGGAAAGAAGGAGGATAATGAATATTATTAATATTAAAGTTTTGAATTAATATTTGATTTTAGTATAAATAAATTTTAGATCTGATTTTTGAAATTGAATTTTTAAAATTTTGGTTGGGTGTAATTTCCACTTGAAATTTCATGGGAAAAATTTATATACACCATACTCTTAGAATACACTTTCAATATTAAAAAACTTGATGAAATCTTTCAAAAATCAGGTCATAAATATTTTTTTATAATGTTTTAGTAATTTATTTATTGCTATAAATTGTAAATTTATCGGTGAATAACAATTGTATATCTACAGCTCTAGAAATTATTATCAATGTGTTCGTAATCCTTCCCTATAAATATGCTGCTTTGGTTTTTAATAAAACACACAAGTCTATTGACTTCTCTTTTTTTCTCTAGTTTATAAAACATTATCGGCACGATTATCTCAAAATCTAAGTGAATTAATTAGTAGGTAATAATTTTCATAAGTATAATCATTTGTGTCACATGAACTAAAATTAACTTAGTAACATGTGAATTTTTCTATATACATATGCATCAAAACGAGGTTGCTTCTTCTTTTTCTATACTTTTTTGCTTGTATGCAAATCCATAATAATTATTTTATTTTTGTGCATAATGATTACTTTCCACAATGTAGCCTTTGTCTTTGTTTGTGTGTTGGTATATTTAATCAACTTCATTGCATGTCTCACGCCTGCATAAATTTTATTTGTACGATGGATTGTCTGTACGTTATATATTTTTAATCAATGATAAACTAGGTATATGTGAAATTCTTGTAAAATATGCATGAGATTGATGAGTTAAATATCTTAAATAGTTATTTGATTTTTAAGAAATTTGACATCAGTTGACTATTGAAAGCAAATTAAGTTTTTATAGACGAACACTAAATTAGAATCTACCATTCTTGTAAAGATTTATTTTAATCCTAAGATTTTTTCCTAATGCATGTATGGTAATTAATTTTTATACATAAATTTAGATCATTTTTGTAAGGTAATTAATATTTTTTAATATGATTAAATTTTTTAAATGTTATTTTATAAATTTCAAATTGATAATCTATTATGTTGTTACTCCTGAAATACTACAACATTATAATTAATATTTTAGAAGAATATTACTTATAGATATGTCTATTAAAATATTGTTGCTCATGAAGTAGCACAATATCATATACATATATTTTAATTAGATTTTACTTGCTCCCGAAAAGTATAATTAAATACGATCTAATAGAAATTATATTTTTACTTTTGAAGAATAAATTTTTATATAATTTATTATAATAATATGTTATTTCTCCTGAAGAGAATGCAAATATAATATCAATATTCCAGAAGAATATTGATCTATTATTTTTTAAGAAGAAATAATAAAATATAACGTGCTTTCAAATTAGCACACATCCCGAATAATATATATCTCATTGCATTCCTAAAAAAACACAAATTAAACAACTCAATACTAAATTGTAATTTTTAAAGGAAAATAATTTTCTATATTATTAATATTCGAGAAAAATATTAATTTATCACTCTTGAAGAACATGAATTATCATTTTCAATATTCTAGATGAATATTAACAAATGTTCTTAATGAAACAATAATAAAAGATAACGTGCTATCGAAATAGTACATGTTTCGAAAAATATATCATTTTATTCCTAAAGAAAAATATATAACTCATGTCATATTGACATTTATTAGTATGTCTATTTGTTTTATTATATATGAATATATAATGTTTAATCATATTTTTCAAAATTAAATATTGAATTATATATTATATTTAACTAGAAGTTCAGTTTGATTTTATTATTTGGCATGATTAGTTGGACCATTATTGGATTAATATTGGATAAAATTAAAAATTCGAATGAATATTCAATGGAAAACCAAAAGATTTTTCAATCCAATAAATTCTTACATGTTGTATGTTCTCTTTAACGAAAATTGATCATTAAATATCACTAGCTAAAATAGGGACTGAATTCCCTATATTTGTGCAAATTAAGGGTGATATATGGAATCCTGTCACCCTCAATGTTGATCATCTACT